ATTCTCCCTGACTTTTTTCCCTGCCTTTTCTGTCAATTACTAAGGAAAATATGTTGTAATCTCCCACTATGATTGTGAAGTTTGTCTGTTTCTCCTCGAATTTATCCCAATATTTGTGTTATATATTTTGAAGTTACTTTAGGAGGTGCTCACAATTTAAAAATTGTTCATTTTCCTGACAAATCAAACCTCTTGTCATTGTGTCTTTATTTCTAGTAATGATTTTGGCCTTAAAATCTATTTTGTCTGCTATCGATTGATAAAGCTACATGGGTTTTTGTGTGGCTTTTTGGTTACTATTTGCACACTTTTAAAAAAATTTTTTTTTTTTTTTTTTTTAAAAGATGACCGGCAAGGGGATCTTAACCCTTGACTTGGTGTTGTCAGCACCACGCTCAGCCAGTGAGCGAACCGGCCATCCCTATGTGGGATCCGAACCCGGGGCCTTGGTGTTATCAACACCACACTCTCCCGAGTGAGCCACGGGCCGGCCCTTTTAAAAAATTTTTGACTTTTCTATATCATTTGGTTTTAGATTGGCTTTTAGTTGAGTCATCTAGTTCATTCACACTTAAGGTAATTACCGATTTGCATGGGTATCTATTTATTACTTTTTAAGTTGAAACATTGATTGTAATATTTGTGGGGTACAGAGTTGATTATCAATACGTGTATACGATGTGTGATTAGCATAGTCATCATTACAAAACTTAATCATTTCTTTGTTATGAAGACATTCGATCTCCTCTCTTCCAGCCATTTGATAACATGCAGTAAATTAAGCTTCATTATAGATGACTAGGTCGACTGTACCCTGTAGAACTTATTTTTCCTAGCTGGCTGTTTAGTGTGCTTGGGTATTTAAATCTACCTTCTGTTGTTCCTTCTTGCTTGTTATGCATTTCCTTTTCTCTCCTTTCTTGTCTTACTATGATTATCTGTTTTTCTTTCTACTAGTTTGGAAATTATACATTTTTAGTGGTTGCCCTAAAAATTACAGCCTGTATTCTTAACCTATTAAATCTGAAATCTTGTCCCCTTGCTCGTCACCTATGTTGGT